CCCATATTTATCTACATGGGGCCCACTTGCTAAAGACCTGGGTAGTTGAACATGGGTATGCCCATATTAATTTCGCATTGGGCCCATGTGCCAAATATCTGGGAAAATAATTATGGGCATGCCCACATATAATATACATAGGACCCATATGTCAATTACCTGGGCAAGTAAATATGGGAGGCCCATATTGTAGCCCATATGCCAAATATATGGGAAGTTACATATGGGCATGCCCTTATTTAATTTGCATGGGACCCATATGCCAAATAACTGGGCATATAATTATGGGAATGCCCACATTTAATCCGCATGGGTCCAATGTGCTAAATATCTGGGAAAATACATATTGGCGTGCCCATATTTATCTACATGGGGCAGACATGCTAAAGACCTGGGTAGTTGAACATGGGTATGCCCATATTAATTTCGCATTGGGCCCATTTGCCAAATATCTGGGAAAATAATTATGGGCATGCCCACATATAATAAACATGGGATCCATATGTCAATTACCTGGGCAAGTAAATATGGGAGGCCCATATCTAATCTAAATGGAGCCCATATGCCAAATATATGGGAAGTTACATATGGGCATGTCCTTATTTAATTTGCATGGGACCCATATGCCAAATAATTAGGCATATAATTATGGGAATGCCCACATTTAATCCACATGGGTTCAATGTGCCAAATATCTGGGAAAATACATATTGGCATGCCCATGTTCAGTCTACATGGGCACCACATGCCAAATAACTGGGCAGATAATTATGGGAATTCCCACATTAATCTACACGGAGCCCATGTGCCAAATATCTGGGAAAATAAATATGGACATGCTCTTGTTCAATCTACAGGGGCCCCATATGCCGAATAACTGGGCGGATTGTTATGGAAATAATACCCGCATTTACTCCACATGGGGCCCATGTGTTAATATCTGGGGAAAAATACATGGGCTTAAGCTGTGTTTAATTTACACATTTACTGCCAAATAACAGGGAAGATAACTTTGGGAATGGCCACATTTAATCTACATGTGACCCATATACCAAATATCTGGGAAAATTCATGTCCATGTGCAATCTACATGGGTCCAATATGCCAAATTCCTATATGCCAAATTCCCATAGGGCCTAAGGGCCCATGTGCCAAATATCTGGGAAAATGCATGGCCATTCTTATGTTCATTGTACATGGGCCCCACATGCCACATACCTGGGCAGATAATTATGCCCTGGATTGGCCTTTGACCCACTGTTAATTATACTATATTTTTATGACGTTATACGTAGCTACAGTTATGACATGAATGCCCCATTGCGGTACTTTTTACTTAATAAGTGTGTGCGCATGCTCAGTGGAAATACCAGTTTGTGTGAATGAAGCTAGCGATGATGGCCCATCGGACTTAAGCCAATGAACTAGCTGTCTTTGGCAGTTCCGGTGTCCCGTTTCAATCAAGTTTTGAATTCACAAAGGAAGCGCCCATTCTAGTGCCGTCGTCTTGTAGCGAGTGTAAATGAAGGAAGATTCATAAGCCTAAGAAAGTGAAGTAAAAGTAAGTAATTTATACTTGTGTAGCCTAGACCTAACTGTTGTTGAATTCCCTAACTATACTACTGTGCTAGGCCTAACTCGCGGCCAAAACCATTGCATTCCCTGGGCCATATTACTAGGCCTAGATACGTAGGCCTAGCCCTTCTTGTTTAAGCGTATGCTGGCCTAGTTTCTTGAACTAGCGTTGGATCGCCAGTTAACTCTCTGGCTAGGGGCATAAGCCAAGGCATATCCTACGTGTTTTGTCTATTATATTTTTCGCCGGTGTATAGTCTAGGCCCTGTCTACCTAACTAATGTCATTGTGTATAGCTAGGCCTAGCCTAGACTTTGTGATGTAACTTTAGTATAGGGGACCTGGCTGGCAAGCCCTTCCCACCCCCAAGCTAGGGGGCCTAGCTAGGCTGTCCATATATGAGTCCACATATACACCAGAACATAATGTCATTGTCAAAATATTGAATTCCAACATGATGGGGTGCATTACAATTCAAAGCTGTTTTCTGTTTCTCAAGCATAAAATACTACACAATTTAATGGAAGTGGATATATTTACGTCGTCGTAAAGAAATCAACGATATATTTACGTAAATGAAACAATGCATGCACAGTCATACTTTAACAAACTTGCATTTTCAGCACTCGATATTTGCGTGGCCTCCCATGGCCGCGGTGATTCACTCAAGTTCAGCATGGCACTTTAAATTAATTAATAATTTTGTTTTTTATTTTTTATTAAACATAATTTAATTTTCTACAACAGCACAGTATGTAGTTTAATCATTAAATAAATTATTAAATCATTGTGTTAAATTTTCAAATAAAAGTGATACTGTATTAGCGAAACAAGGTATAAAGGACTGTCTCTTATACACATCTAGATGTGTATAAGAGACAGGCCTAGGCCTATGCAAGGTTTCCTTGCTAAAACTTAATTACCAGGAATCAAGACGATATTCTTCTAGGCCTACCAGTATTGTTATAGTCAATCATCACAAATTAAATAACACCCTAATGTTTTTATTCAAACAAATTAACCACGTCGTCACTAACAAAAACAACATTGTTATATAGTCTTCAGACGGGTCGAGAATCGAGCACCAATCGATCATGAAGAACATACAGGAAGACCATGTTTGGTGAGCACATGATTCACTCTACAAAGTACTGTACTGTACGCTATGTGAAGCAAGAAGTAAACAACGCATAATCATGTATTTTCTGTAAGATTTATTGAATCACTACGAAAAAAGTGAAACCAGGGAGATGTAAAACATACATAAAATACTTCTCCCTGGTAAGACAAAACAAATATTTTTAATGTTTTATTCAAACATATTTTTCCAAGTAGTCTGATCACTAACAAAGCAACATTGGCGTGATGTGCATGTGTCTACGAAGTATGGATACAGAACTCAACAAATGATTGAGTAAGATGAACATAACATTTCCAGCTCATAATACAGTATCACTTTTATTTGAAAATTTAACACTTGATTTAATAATTTATTTAGTGATTAAACTACATACTGTGCTATTGTAGAAAATTAAAGTATGTTTTAATAATAAAAAAATAAAAAACAAAATTATAAATTAATTAGTGCCATGCTTAACTTGGGGGAATCACCGCGGCTTGGGAGGCCACGCTACTATCGAGTGCTGAAAATGCTAGTCGTTAAAGTATGACTGCGCATGCGTCGTTAAATTTAAGTAAATATATCGTTTACTGATTTGATTACGACGACGTAAAAATATCCACTTTCTTATTTAATATCAGTAAAGGCCTACATCGTTGTGCAGCCTACTGTATATTGTCGATCTTAATTGTGAAGTTAAACATTTTCTTTATTTCTTCTTTATGTTGTTTTTTTTGTCAGGAGTAAAAAAAAAAAAAACCAAAAAAAAAAACATGGCATCCATAGGCCGTTATTAATGGAGCTACTGTAAGTATTGGCGAAGATGGACACGAAAACTTAAAATTCAATATCTATTATCAGATCACCAGTCCTGAGCTGCAGTATGTGCTACCTGCCAACGTACCAGTACTTTCTATGGAGGCATTATAATAATTTTGATCGGTTCTTGAAGATGGTCTTGTGCAAACAATTAGTGAGTTTTGTTGTGAAAACAATAATAATAAGTGAATACTTTATTAAAGCGAATAGTAATATACAGATATATAATGTGATTGGGATTCCATTTCATCACTTGTCACAAGTTGGTCAATGGTAAGGATTAGATGATGTACGCGTAAAATTAGATTTCATAATTCCATGATATAATATTTATGCTAATGACAGTTATAATGAAAGCATAATGTTTGTTATTTTTTTGTTTTTACTTTATTTTCTTTTATTTTAATTGGATTTGATAAACCTACTTTCATTAATATATTTAACAAAGTAATTATACACAGCTTGAATAACTGTTTGTGTACCTGTACAGTAGTGTGCTGAATTTGTGATGTGCAGCCTGAGAGTCACCCTAACAGACTACATTATTTAAACTTGCACAAAACACCTCGTTTAAACTTATCACAGAACAAAAATTTCAAAATACATCAACTACTTCATGTGATGGAATTTGGTGCTATTATATAATCGTTTGTTTTATTTACATGGTAATTCACTTAACATATTTATATTAATATTTTACAGTATTTTCAAGCCTTGAAACTTGTTTAACAACATTTAAATCTATTCTTAACAACTTTGTTTCCTGACTTCAATCTGAACTGTATCAAAAAATACTAAGAAGATTCAAAAGCTCAAGATTGTCAAAATCGGTAAGTTAATAGATTCTAAAAACCAAATGTTCGGGCGAGACTTTTTTTATACCTTGTTTATCGAACCTGCCTACTGCAAATATTGATATTTTAAAAATAAAAATAAAATTTTATTTTTGAGCAATTAGCGCACCCACCACCATAAAAAAAAAAAAGGAAATTGCAGTAAAAAATTAGTTTTTTAAAATTTTAATTATGCCCTCCACTGCCTTGACATCTCCAAAGATATACATATTTATATAAATTTTAAATATTTAACCATCCTACTTTACATTCACCAATAAAATTGTATATTTATTTTTTCCTCCGCCTGGATGTTTTAGGCAGACTGTTTGCTGAATAAAAAAACTAAATTTTATCTTTATTTTTATTCTG